ACTCCGGTCACGCAATGCCGAATGTGCTGTTGTATGTTTAATATTATTCACTACACGTTTACTAATGTGATTTGGGCGATATATTGCAATCAACGCTGAAGCACGGCTAGAAGTTGGCTGAACGTCGGAAGTTGCGTGGCAGAAAGGCAGTAATTACAATGACTTCTATCACCTCGCACCGACCATGAATCGTCCGGCGACAATCGCTCCAATTGTATTAGCATAAATCACTTTGCATTCACAACCTGGCTTCATCATTCGAGTCTCGCTTTTTCCACCACGGTCGCAACTTTTGGTCGGTTCTGTCCCTCTCGCTTCTCGACTCTCAACCAGATCGAAATGCCCCAACGATCTTACTATCCGGAATCATGCACAACTGTTTTAACGATCAACCTTTCAGATATCCAGCTGGTAGAAAAGGCTGAATCGGCAACAACGACCCATCTAAAACGACTTCTGACAACTCACGACAATTCGCCTCATTACGATATTAACCAGTTCCACATTTCAAATGCATCAAAACCTACGACCTACCTTCCAGAATACCCATTGGTTGAAAAAGTTCGCCATATTTTCTCGCCTAGGGGGAGAGCTGTTGTGAATCGTGTTTATTCACACCCCTTAATCCGATCGCTCCAGCCTCCGACACAGGGTTCCCCTTTTCACAGCATGTTGCCAGCCGCGCGGATCCTCAACTCCCCCCTCATTCGCACGATCGCTTATCGTGGATTATCCTCACACCCAGGTTTTGATGTTAGTGCATCTGAGATATAAATACACACGACACCGACTTGGTTGAGCTCCGAAGCAAACGGTTGTGTCCACGTCCTCTTCGGTCTTTTCCTTCAAGACCACATACTGGAGTCCATAACGCACTACGAATGCCCGACATCTAATCAGAATTGAAGGCAACGAAAACAAACCGAGCAACTGAAATTCTTTGGTCAGTCAAAAACACAGGTATAAAACAAGTAGCACTGTCCACATTGAAACGATGAAATATTGAACGTACGTGTCCTAAAATAAGTAGCGTAGAATTACAAAAAAAAACTATAAGTCCACACAGGCCAAATAGTCTTGACAGGTCATTTATTAAAATTGGACATGTGAAATTAGTGAGAAAAAAAGGCAAAAGCACATGAAGGCAATCATCAGGAAACAAGTGGTGCCGTGTCAGAGGACGTCGGTGGCGCGTCTTCTTCTTCCTCATCTTCGCCGCCGCCGCTGCCACCGCCTCCTCCTCCAACTTCTGCTTCTTCTTCAGGCTTAACAGGCGTCGCCTTTGTCCGCGTGTGGGCCGAATTCAAGCGACGGCCGTTTTTCACATCCCACAGGAAGAGCAACACCGTCGCTAGTAGGGCGAATGCGTTGCACATGAGAAAGAACATCTCGAGCACCATGTAGCCCTGAAAACAAAAACAACGAACATCAGGAGGGACGTCTAGCGGCCTCGTGTGGTGTCTAGCTGTGACCCGCAGCCGGACGCACCTTCGTGTCGACAATGTAGCCGGCGAGGAAGGACGCCAGCCCCAAACCCAGATTCTGGACGGATTGCACAAGTCCGTAGGCGGTTGCGCGTTGGTGCTGGGGGAGCACCACCCCCACCAGAGGCCACAGGCTGCTCGCGAGGATGGAGTAGCTCAAGCCGAGGCAGAGCATCAGCAGGAAGGGCGAGGGCAGGGCGGCGGTGAACGCGAAGCAGGCGTGACAGGTCGCCGCCATCGCGATGCCCACCGTCACCCAGGTGAGGTTGTAGCCGAAGAAGTCGATGGCGGCGCCGACGATGGGACTCGCGACGGCGGAGACAATGAACACGAGGCTGTTGAGTGCGGCTGCGTGGGCGGGGTCGAGGCCGTACTTGCCTGGAGCGGGGGGGGGGACAAATGTGAATGCCACGACACCATCACCGAACGCCACGTGCAGCCTCACAGAGCCGCCATTAATCAAACTCAGACCGAGCACAAATACAACAAGCCTAAAACGGCTGTGCGCGCCACGCACCACGCCACTCAAACGGGCTTGTCTGACAGAACACCTCGACTGCAGACAAGTCTAGGTGGATTTCATGCGCTTTTCGCCTGACGAAACCGCGCGCAAGCCTCGGTTCCAGCAAGAACTCGCACGAGCGCACGCAAGAAAACCCAGGTGCCTGGGGTTCGGTGGCGTGGAAAAAAACCGCCAGGTGCTAGCCAAGTACGAGGGCAGTGGGTGGACAGTAGGCGCCTTTTCGTCGTCTGACTGCTCAGTGCAACAACAGTCGATTAACAAATTAGGCAGCTTTAAAAGGCCTGGTAATATTAGGCGAATAACTTTGTTTGTGCAGATTTATTTAACACAAAAACCTAGAGAACCGCGTACTTTCTCTTGCAAATACGACCTCTCCAGCATTTCCAACGACCTTGCGCCATCTCTCAAGCAACGCACGAATGCCGTCGCGAAAAATACGTACAGACTACGAGACAGTAAAGTCATCGACGAATTTACACACATCGTCCACCGTTTTGAACTGTTGCGTTGATCGGAACAAACGGTACTCGGATGGGACCAAGTCTGGTGAATCAGCCCCGCGTGTGGGAGAACTTTTCATCCCACGTTCAAGAGGGTCGTTTGAGTCGTAACGCGAGCAACGTGAGGTGATCGAGCGTTGTCACGCGGCAGCAGCAGTGTGACCTGCCTGCTTCCTTGCCCAGTAAACGGCCTTTTCTGATCACGTTCTTCGCTCAGGTTGTTCATTTGTCATCTGTAGCCTTCCGCGGTCACGGGCTGACGACTAGTTTCCACGAGTTCGTAACCAAGCACGCCCTTCATGTCCAACCATATGCCTTCTCCAAGTGAATATCCTGGGTTGCCCATAATTTACCCACGGATTTTTACGTTTGGGATTCTCGTAACAATAAAAATTTACATTTCATCGCCAGTCGCAATTTTCCACAGTAAGCCCATTCACTGCTAGTTGACGGCGGGCAAGCAGTGAAAGGCGTGTGCTCATACGCTGACCTAGGTTGTGTTCGGTCAACACAGGTAAGGAGACCCAAATTTCAAGTTCCTGAATTTTTCCCATTTGTTGGTAAAAACGTTTGAAAACAGCTGCTTGAGTGACTTCTAACTGAGCTGCAAGCTCCCGCCGCGTTTGCGTTGAGACTTCATTCAGTAGAGCTTGCAACTCCGCATCTTCAAACTTTCGAGGCTGCTGGCCGAGGCGCGGCTGGTCACCACGATCAAAAGCACCACTGCTCAAATGGTTGTACCAATAATTACACATTTTGCAAGACACCACATTGGCGTGCTTTAGAAGCACTTTAGCCTTGGTGGAATTCGTATAAAATGTAGTGCCGAATGTGTAGCTAATCAGTTGCCCTCTTAAACTCTCCTCTTGTAACGCGCGCAGACTTGTCGTTCGGTGTTGTGAAGTCTTGTATCTGATCCATTTAAGGCCACAAAGATCGCGAAAATACTTCATTTTTAAATACAATTTTAAGCTCAAAGAAAAATCTGCAGAAATTAAGTCATGTGCCTAATACGATACGAGGAGTTAGTAAGGGGCTATTTGTGATTTCCGGGGTAAACCAAAGTGCACAAATGCTCAGAAACAGAATCGATCTTAGAAAAATTAGTGGCCCTAAACCCTAATTTTCGATTGTGCGTTAAGAGGTAAAACAAAAGGACACCTAACAGCCGAGGATACTTGTTTTCTTTTCGTGAGAATGAAGTGCCAATGTCACGAAGTTCAAACATTTATAATGTACTGAAATCGTTTAAGCAATATTCAGTGACAAAGGTCGAATTGTAGATGAAAATGTCGCTACGCAAAGCAAAACAAAGTCCATGCTAACTCGAGCGTACAAAAACAATGACGAAATGTAGATATGGTAGCTTAGTTATTCACGCTAATTTGCGTCGATTACAAGAGTTTGCACATTATCAAATTTAATGCTGATTCAGGCTGTGTTTACGCGATTCGCTCCGTCTCTGTGACTCGCCATGTTTACACTGAATTGGATCACGATGCGCCTGAATAAACACCGGCGAGACAAAAGTGCTACACCATCCAATCGTCGCCTGTGAAACGTGGAAAGACAGGGGAAGAATTCGGCAAAGGTGCCTTAAATCGCAAAATAAACGAAGGGAATGAAATCACACGCGCACCGATATAGAGTGACCAACAAGAGGTGAATAACCTAACGCCTTGAGTGGCTAAGATAAAGGAAAAATTTTAATTTACAGATAAACAGCGACAAAACAAACGAATGTTAAAATAAATGCGTAACTCACGCTTGAAGAACACAAGTCCAAGACTGATTAAAGGAAATACGGTAACGTAGTAGGCAACACAAATGATGCAAATGAGCCAGATTGGCGGAGGAAAGTGCAGGATGTCTTTTAGCTGGATGACTTCTTCCTGAGGCGCTGCCGCCTCCTGGGACGATTCGCCAGAGGTTTCGACAGATAGCAGTGACTCTAGTCGAGCTTTAACGTATCTGTTTAAATTAATGATAACTTGATACCAGTGAATGTTGCAAGGTATTGCTTACAATGTATCAAGACCTACCTTCGATAAAAAAATGCAAGTGATATTGCACAGCCAATCGAAAATAAACAGGTCACAGATGCAACAAGCAACGTCGCTGCCATGCGTTTACCACCTGTGAGGTGGAATGCCGAGCCCATAGCCTTGTAAAGCGGCCGCATGGTGTTCATGTTGACAGTCGAGCCGATTCGGGCTACACTAAGCGAGAGCCCGAAAACGAAATTGAGCTCGTTTGGCGGGTACCATGCCGTGGCGTAGGCGTTTTGTGCAACTGACAAGGACTCTCCACCGACGCCGAATACAAACCGAGCAAAATACATCAAATAAACACTTGAAAGAAAAGAACCAAGTGAAAAAAGGCACTGTCCAAAAAAAATTATGGAGGAAAACAGTATAGCACCCCAACGGATCCCAATGACTCGGTCTATAAAAAGGCCACCAATAAAGCTGAGTATGACGTTGGGCCACGAATAGAAAGCATAGAGGTTCATGAACTGTGCGACAGATAAATTAAGATCAGTTAAAAATGCGTCTTGCAAGGCAGCAGGGTTGTCATAACAAAAATAACTCCCAAACGACATTAGACAAATAAAAAAGAGCATGGCATAGCGATGAACAGGGCTTCTTGGGTTGCATAAAGAACCGCAGCAATATCTTTGAGCGATCAACTCTGATGGCAAGTCTGGCATTTCTCAACGGCACACGAAAGAGAAAAGACACAGTCTCGACCAAATTGAAGGTCGCTTCATCGTTGAAATAAACAAACAAAATTAAATTTTTAAAATCATTAGATTTTACGCGTCTTGATCTAGTCAATAAGTTTCTCTACGCGAAATTGATCTTTTAGGTTTAGTAATATATTTAACGTATCCAAACTTGTTTAAATAAAAGAGTTCAGTACACCGAGGATGATCGTCATTATTTATGAATACATATTTTAGTGACTTCCAACGTGCATTCGCAATGACCCATATGTCTCAAGTTGCAGTATTTACATACCCTTAAGTATTCCAAAATAAATAAGCTTCTTACCTCACAGTATTTTTAAAACTTTTCAAGAATTCCTCCGGCACGTCCACGGGATATTTCACTGGTCGAGTTTTGACCTCTGTAACAGTGGAGTGTGCAAAATATTGCTCAACACTAGGTAACAATGCAAACCTTGTAGTTCAAAGATGCATCATGAGAAGCAGGTTTTTGTTTACAGCACATTTGCCTCCTTCGTACAAATGCAGTAGTACAGAAGTTCAGCTCATGTGCAATAAGTATAACGCTGTGTGTGAACATAACTATGAAATGTCATAATGTCTGATTTCAGAAAACGATTTAAATGGTTTAATCATTAATTTTATGGAACCCCCATATTGTTGCACATTAAATTATCTCCTTCTTATTTTCTTTGTAGGTGGTATGATCTTAGAAACACTTCACAAGTAAGTTTACGTGGAATTACTTATTTAAGCCGCACTTCTGGTATGATCGCTCTTAACTGAAATCTTATAAATAAAAAATAAAAAAAAAATAAAACCTTGTGTTATGGCTAAAAGAATTTCCCACTGCATCATTTAACTCAGAAGACAGATTAGGTCTTGTCACCATGTCAAACTTAATGTCATTTGCCCTTTTTTTAAAAGATTGACTTGTAGCCAAAAAAAATCCAAAATCCTATGTTAAATTTGCACAAACATTGAATAAAGTGGTTATAGTTGTTAGTACTGGATAACTCCAACTCATGTTCTTTTGATTTTGTTTCCGATAACTGAATATAATTAAAAATTGCGGCTTGAATTATTTATTAAGTACCTTTGCATTCATTTCTTTAAGTAATTTGTTGAAGTTTTGCACACTAAGTTTTGACAAACGCCCCTGTTTGACACAAAAATAAACTAAATTCGCTGGACAAAAATTGAAAAATTGTGCTGAAAGTAGACACTATGACAATTGACAGGGTTAACAAGTCTATTCAACCAATACAATCAGGTTAGCCAAGTAGTAAAAGAATCAAATATCCCTAAGCACAATCTAGTAAACGTTAAAAACATGCAATTTTTGAGGCATGAAACTTTTGACGTTAAAAAACATTACGTTAGGTGATACTGTAAATCGCTCAAGCTTTGATAATTTACAGAGCATAGTTCAAAAATATTCCATTAAAGACGAATGGAAATCATCAATTTTAAATCAAGTTAGAAGGAGTATGAAAATTCTACTCATTTTAGTCTCTAAGATTTTGGTGAACTTTCTCCTAAAACAAACGTTCGCATACACAGGGCATAAAAGTTATTCAGGCATAAAATATGGCACTCATTGCATATTAGATGGTAAAAATTGATTTCCCAACATTTTAATGACTTCCTGATCTCATAAGATGAAGTTTTTTAAGATTGTGTTACACGAAAATCCTCATATTGTGTGGCTGAAGTTACTGTTGCACTCGGGGTGTTGGCTACTTGTCTATTCCTGTCCTCACATTCCTGGTTTGCTTAATATTTACAAAAAAATCATTACTCATTTTGGCACCGGTGAAAATGATACCAACGGGAAACCTGATCTGTGTGTCTTTGAGTGTTCCTCTACCGCCCAATCAAGCCATCTGCACTTGTAAGGCATCGATTTTATTGAAAGTTCCAACAAACTGGTTGTGGTACGTGTTAACCTGATAGCTCCATTCGCCAACACAATGCTCCCATTCCATGGCATTCTCTTTGCCGCGGGGGCACTTACCCTCACACCGAATTCGCGAGGATTGTTATCCTGCTTCTTAATGTTAATACATCTGTTAAATAATACCGTTAGACGCATTGGATCTACACACGCATACTCGCATTCGCCCCACATCACACACCGACAACAAAACTTGGTCCAGATGTCAAGTAAAAAGTTGTGTCCACGCCATCTACAGTCTCTTCATCTTACGCGTATTTTCAGATCAGTAAAACATGAATTCGTTGATCACTTTCTACTGACGAAATTCTCCAAAGTCTCAACAGTGGGATTCTCTCGGCTTTCTACTTAACAGCGCGGATCTCAATGCAACTGAATTAGTTCTTACACACACACACTCTCTCTCTTGTGATACTTCGCACTTCTCGTTTATAAGTAGAGAATGTAAGGTTAATGGACAGTGTTAAAAATGCGCAGATGGTTCTATCATTTTAAATGCATGACGCCTTCAACAACCAATCAAAAAAGCCAGCCTTACAATGATCAAGAAAGCCACAGGCGATGGAGACGTGACCGTTAATTAGACGGCTCAAAACAGTCAGTTTGTTTAAAAGATGACTGTAAACAGAGTGGAGGGTGATTGAAGATTTTCGCATTTTCAAGGTGTTTGGAAGTATGGAGACATGGAGGTAAGAATGTTAATTACCACGATTTGCGCATTTTCCAGTACAATTTTCGGTGTTTTGACCCCATGATAAAATTCGTCTATTAGTAAACTAATTAACATTTCAAAACATTGAAAAACATCCGCATTTTTTGGCATCATTTGCAACACTTAACCATTCCGCGACGCCATTTTGGCCAGTTATTTAGTACCCAGGTTTTTATTGGCTGACAGTTTGGAGCGTGCACGTCCAAAATGACGGTGGAGTCAGAAATAACGAGAACTAAAACTTGGAGCTACTGATTTATAGTCAGTAGGAGCGAGTAGGAATTATTGATACCTTTTACAAAGACGAGGGGTTGAGGCAACCTGGTACATCCCAACAGGGAGACCTTCATAGTCGCGACTACTCGATGGTGGGAATCAAGAGTGCTGGTGCTGTGGTGCATTTTGCTGCTGCGCAAGATGGAATCGTTTGCTGGAACAACTCTCCCAACCACCACTCTCACAACGTTTGACTGGGTGTCCGCCGACTTAGCACAAAGGACCGCACTTTGATTGGCAGCTACTTCGAGTAGAAGCACAACGAACTACCACTACCAGATTGTGGGTCTGTAGTGAGAGCAGTCCCACCGACGGGCCGGTGTCGACGTCAACTGTCAACTCATTCCGATTTCCCGACGCCTGTTCAACAGGAATCGGCTACGAAGCCGCCTCCGTCTGACATTCCAGATGATTCAACAGTGGCTAGGGGCGATTCGCCTGAAACCAAGTCGTCTAGACACTGTAGATGCTTTCCTTAATCCATTCTGTAGATTCCATAGTTAACTCGGCGCTTTTTCGAGGTTGGACTTCACTTGTGTGATGGCAAGCGTAATTACACAACTCAACAAATGCATCTCCAGTTATGAAAAACGAGGAATGAGAAATATCGCGAGAGAGAAAGAGAGAGAAAGTACTAGTTCACTTGCACTGAGATCCGTGCTGTTAAGTAGAAAGCCGAGAGAATCCCACTGTTAAGAATTTGGAGAATTTCATCAGTAGAAAGCAATCTACAGATTCATTTTTTACTTATCTGAAGGTACCCGTAAGCCGTTTCGACCGCATTTTGCCTAAGCGATTGATTATTACGGTGTCGGCGAACGCTTATTTTCATCCCTAACATTTCTGAAAAAATTGTGAATGAATTCTTCCTGCAAACTAGCTGTAATGGAGCAATCTCTCTTTGGCATTTTCGTTCTTTGTAATCAAGATAGAGCATTTCATACCGGAGAGTTTTGGGCCAAACTTTGGTGCTGCAGCTCCTTTTCCTCGTTGTTTTTTGGCAAAAGGAGATCTCGTCTTTCCAATTGCTAAGATCGTTCCTACACTACCCAACGTTTGTGATGAAGCTTTGCATTTGAATCCTGTCATTCTTGGTGAAATTTTAAATACCTAGTGGTGTTATCGAAATTTAATTGACAAATCAATACTGGTTCTGGTCAACTTCAGGAACTAAATGACTGACCGCACATTTGAGCACTTCCCGCGACTTTAAACCCATCCCTGTTTACTCAGTCATTTGAGTTCATTGAGTGGATCTGGTGGTATTGATTCACCGCCAATTAGAAGTTCATCGTTGTTTTTTTTGCAGCAAAATTGTGTAGTCGTATCGAGGCAAAACACTGCGCGCACAGTACTATAGTATGAGTATTTTGGCACTCTCACTGCGCAAATTTGATTGGTAGATGACGCGCCAATCATTTTGAAACCTGGTGATTCTTAGCACTTGCGCGCGCACGCACACGCACCCGCGTAGGTTTACTCAGCCAGTGCGATCTAGTTCGCGCGTCTGTCGAAAGGCAAGCATTAGTTGTGCGTGGGAACACATCGGCTCCACGAAGACGTCCTCGCAGTCATGAATAACGCGGCCAACAGGCGACGCCGACGCAGACCCACCCTAGAGGCCTTCAGCATTCAAATGGACCCAGACCAGAGCAGCGCGGCCGGCTCCCTCTACGAGTACAACCCGGCCATGGTGACGAACGGAACGTCTTACGAGAACGGCGCCGCCGAGGCACGTGTTCAGCCGTTTTCCTTCGCGTGCGAACTCGCCCAGGGGAGCAATCAGGTGAGGATTTCCGGCTTCGCCAACATCCCCGAGCTGTACCAGAGGATCGCAGAGAGCTTCAGTATCCCCGCGTCGCAGGTAATTCTCGTGCTAACTTAATCGCCTCCTCCTGAAACGGCTACATCGAAACATCAAGCTAGATAAGCATAAGAAGGCTGCTAATTTAATGGCTGACCGTAAATGTGGGCAAATAAGTTGTCTCGGTTGGAGATAAAGGGCAACTGTGTTGAGGAGGGTAGAGATTGGACGCTGGTTGAGTACCTGGGAAATCTGGTAGATGGAATCAGTCGAATTAGAACTGATTTTGATACCAAGACACGCTATCGAGGCAGGAAATCCAAGCCCTAGCACATTCACAGCTTATTGGTTTCCAACGGTTACTTTTCGTGGGTTCCCTTCTCTGTGGTTGAAACTAGGGCGGCGTGGTGTTTAACGAGCACGTGATTGAGGATGAAGCCTGGATCTGTCTGCAGGATATTGACAGCCAGCTTCAACTTACATATAAGGCGGTCTTCGTGACCTTACCAAAACGCGATCGAGAAAGGCTGCGAGGCAACGGCAGTGTGATTCACTCCCCAACAGTTGGCAGGTCCGTCTTAGTTAACTTCATTAGCATCCTCCTCACTGCGTCTTTTTTGAAAGCACGTGGATGCTTATCATTCGATTAGTGCAGGTGAAAACTTTTTCCTGCACGGAATGTGTTGGTAGGTTAGGTTCCAGGAATGCTCTATTTCTGACAAAACCTGTCCTTCGGGTTTTGGCCTGAAATTTTTTCTTGCGTGACTTAGTTTGGGTCTTCTTATTCGCATTAATTTAATGTAATTTTGGCATTTTTCACTTGTTTAACGATTGCTGTAGTACTTCCAAAAATGTTTGAATTTAAATCTGTTCAATAAGGACCTCCAGTAAGTCTGGGAGTTATTCGTTTCTTTCTTGGAAAACCCATTGTAAAATGTGGGCAGGTTCTGAATGCACGTTGATTTCGCACATTCCAATCTACTCAAAAATCCATTCGTTAAAACCCGTGACGAGATTTCAAATGGCTTCCATTCAAACTGGTTTGGGTGCCTGCAAAACACCGCTTGTTTTAGCCCACTTGTGTGTTTGACATCGTCGACGAAAGTCACATGCAGCTGGTATAATTGACGTGTTGGCTGAGTTACAACGTTATCCTAAACGATAAACATCAATTACGTACACGTATATGAGAAAAAAATAAAGCTAACAATGGAACGCGCAGATGTGGAGACCCACGGCACTGGGTAAACAAATTTTGAATCGGCGCCCAGCTGGTGAAGCATATCAGTAAAACAAAGATGCGCAGGAAGAGAATAACTGGCTGAATGTCGCACCTACCGCCAAGTTCTTAGTAGTTTTAGTCACTGGGACATTTTGACCTCAGTAGATTATGTACTGCACCCTGGATACTCCGCAAGTTGACATGTCGAAGCTGCTGGGCAACCAGTTGGCTTTCAATCACGTGATCTACGCGCACACCCGAGGCCAGACGAAGGAGGTGCGCTTCGTCAAGTCGGCCGAGACCCTAGGCCTGACGGTGTCGGACAATAAGGCCGGCGGCGTCTTCGTGAAACGCGTCTCCCCCAACGGCGTGCTCGCCAAGGTCCTCGAACAGCAGACCAACTCCATTTGCGCCGGCGACCTCATTGAGTGCATCAACGGACGCTCCTTCATCAACTCACGACACATGGACGTTGTCAAGTACCTCAAGGAGTTGCCGGTTTCGAGCAAAATCGTCCTCCGCCTCATCTCCCCAGAGAAGGGCGTTTTGCGTGAGTTTCTGCCGTGTTGGGTGATGCCTCGTTTGTCTGGAGCCATTCGTGAAAGCAATAAACCATCCGATTTACTTAAACTGACAGGGTGATTTTGGATGGCCGCATTGCAAGTGTTTAATTTAGAACAAGTTTAAGATGGAAAACTCAGCCCCACTAAGGGAACTGATCTGTCTGAAGAAGCTCGGGTTGATGAATATTGATAAGTTGTGTGTTTATCTTTTTTTTGTGGTGGTGGCATTTCTCGGAAATCGCACATGTCTTCCAGTGATTTCTGCGTCTATTTAATAACACTGCGTGCTAAGTATCAAATCTAGCTGTTGAATGGCTGGAATCGACCAAATAGCATAGAATCCTCTCAAAAAAGTGTCAAGCCAATTTAAAGGTGCTCATTGCAAACGGTTTTGTGTGCAAAAAAATTTGGTTTGACCCCCGAAACTTCAAATTTTCCGCTCCTAAACCAGAAATCCACACCAGAACACCAATACGGACTTAGTTTGTGGATTTTGAAATACAATCTCTACAGCTAGAAGTTACTGTCGAAAAAGTTAAAACGCTAACCGTTTAAACCACTTTAATAGCTTTTAATTATTCCAAAGGAGATATCTCGGAAGCGAAAGCTGTCGGACGCCAAATTATTCATTAAGAGTGTCCTCGATTTGTCCGCGAAATTCCTCATTTCAAGAGCATTACCCAGACCCATCGTACTCAATGCAGCATCTCCCTAATATTTGCGCAATTCAAAATCCCGCAAAATTCAGCTACGCGGTGAGTCACCGCGTAATTTAATGGGTGCGTTGTGGGTGTGAGGTTAAATGTGAAAAAGGCACCAACTGCGTAGCTGATCGCGCTCACGTATTATTGCTAAAGTAGACGCACGAACAGCCACGCACACATGCCTGGTCACGTGACAGCGAGGTTAACCAATCAGATATCAGCTGCTTCACTTTCTTCTGAGGCATTCACCACTTGACCGCTAGCTCCCCACATTCGCCAAGACGGCTTTCGATTTGTGTGTGTGTGTGTGTGTGTGTGTGCGTGTGCTGCGTTTCCGTTGTATTTCGTTCTTTACTTTTGGCCTAGTGTTAGGCTCCACAAGATGGAACACGAATCTGTAGTTATGTTGCAGAGCCATGCTGAACAAATCTACTACACCTGCACGTCTTCCTGAGCTAGCAAAAGTTGATTTAGCACAACTGTGCATCTGGAGTGGTTGTGTAATCGGACGTGGATCATGCAGGCTGGTGTTGACGGAATCAGCAAACTGCAATATTCCAGGCAGATGACTACAATTTTCTGGATTTGGTGCAAGTCGACACCAATGCACACACACACACACTAGCTGATAATAACTAGCACAGAATGTAGACAAGACTTTATGCGGTAAGGGCGCCAAAAGGCACTTTGACACCCTGTAAATTAGATAGCGCGCTCAGTGCGAATTGAGCCAATGAGGTGGTTGCGCGGGCGAAATGAATCACTTTTAAAGTGGTGTGCCTCACGGGCTCGAAATGTGGAAAAATAAAAATTCTTAAGTTATGCCACAAGTTCTAACTTCGTGCAACAGCGATAGCGACACTCACGAGAGCGAATGGTTCAAGTAAAAAGGGTAGTTGCTCCCTAACTGGGATTGACCAATGAGGATTAGAGAAACCGGTTCAAATTACTTTTCAGCTATGCCCACGAAATCCAGCGATTTCTGTTCAAGCCATTGTTAAAACCATGACGCAATTCTACTCACGGTTTGAATTGTAATAGCTTAGAAGTTTTGCAAATCCTCTTTTCTTGCGTTTCACCTCAAGCTACGTCTAGTGTGCACCAAGGTAAACACCCCAAAAAAATCGACTTTCGTCATTTCCTGAATTAAGCTTAGTGATTGTAATAGTTGAGGACTTGTATCTGTGATGGATCAGATGAAAATTCCCGAAGCTGAGTTTCCGCATTAGCAAAAGTTTTGATCACGCAAACAAAACCAAACCGTGGCCGAGTCAATGAGTCGTTTGGTAGACATCGTCGACATTCCACTCCAAAGGTCTGTTTCCACTTTATCGAACGTCCACGCCAGAATGTGGTGGGTTTTTGAACAGCTACCGTAGTATCGACAAATTGGTGAACGTGCTGAATGACTGGCTGCCACCTACTGCCACCTTCCACCTCATTTCTAATCGATAAATCGAGTCTTGTTGTAATCCCTTTTAGCTGGAATCTCCAAGCGACAAAAAAGAACAGGCGCCTTTGGAAAACAGACCATTCGATTCACAGCCACTGGTGCTGAGGTCATGGATGCGGTAGGTTATGCATAAAAAAACTTTTTTAACCTTCGTTATCCCTCATCCCTACGCAAGTTCCGTAAGATTAGCGCCATGATGTCGAACATTTGGATTTGGAAAGTGACTTGTATTCCTGGATCTACAAATCACCTTCTTTGAAAATATGAGCTTAGCAGGTTGTGAAGCTGTAGGCTTTGTGCATTATTAGACTTGCGCGGTCTGTTCCGTTCATGCGTTTGATCTAAAAGAACCATCAATTTTACAAAAACCGCGTTCCACTTAAATCTACTTAAACAATGGTAACACCCCAGGCATTATTGTGATTTAGCCTGCTGCTTCGCAGCAAGTATTTTTCATACAAGAACACACCCGTTAAGTTTTAGGTACTTGCACTAAACTTCTCGCTTTGATTGTCTCTGTGCGTGAGGAGAATTCGCTTTTCTGATGAAAGTCTTTGATTGGCAGTACAGCCAGAGCAGGCAAAAATCCACCCAGGGTTATTTTTACACCTTGGATTAAAACAAACCTCAGCACCAATCCCCGTTACACAAGTTTTCAAATAGGCCTGTTCGGATTTTCCTAAACGAGAAGCTACTTGGAAAAAAATGGAGGTGCTGTGGCGGCCTCATTTAATTTATTCGCGCAATTTAGCAGACGTGTGCGTGTAGGTGTGTAGTTTAACGAAGAATGAGTTAGTGATGCTAAGGGCTTTGGTCGTATTTTATAGTTGAACCAAGATCAGACCCTGGCACTACGCCGATTGGCTGACACCGTGGAGGATTTCATTGGTATTGCAGACGAAGAACTTGGTAAGTTCTGTAGGCCCAAATCTCTCGTATTCTCAGTAATATCCGGGTTGTTACCTTTTTCTCTGAAAATTCTTTGCATGTCGAAAAATTTGCTCTTATTTTATCAAGGGTCTCTGCCGTAGGTATGTTTTAATTGGGTATGTGAGTTACAGATTTGAAAAAACACACTTCAAGTACGGGAAAACACTGCCGATTTCGAACTTCATTCGACTGCCTTCAGTTGCCAATAGGGTTCTTTTAGCAAAACTCTTAGCATTAAAACAAATGTTGAGCTAATGAAATCCCTACGCTATTTCTGTCCATAATTAATCTTAGCGACAAAAAAATATCGTCTGCTATCTCATAATTCTTCACCAGATAAACATTAATTCAAAGTAAATTGCAGGAAATCGAATACAGGAAACGCCATTTTGAGTGGTGTTGATGTAAGCAGTAACTGGCTACAAAATTTTAATCCCACAATTGAACAGAAACACCGAATCCGTAAAAAATAAAAGGTGATCAGTAATGTGTAGGCATTGTGCAAGCTGGTGCTATCTGCAATTCCCACGTCCAGTGATCAAATTATAAGTGGCGCTTTGCGATACCTGGCATTAAAACAACACTTAATCCTAGTTATGTCTTCTCAACCTGAAGTTTCCCATTTGAAAACCTGAACAAGCTCATTATAACGAAATCGAACATTAATATTCCACGAACAAAGTCTTTTCCACAAAAGTGACTTACAGATAGCTCACCTATTCGTGGACATTGTAAATACAACTCGCTTGATCGGCAGTGGCTTCTGTCGTTCTCAGTGTATAAAGCGGATCATTTTTGGCAGCACTAATTTTTGTTTTTTTTTGCTATTTAAGCGCAATCCATTTTCGACCTGGAGTGCAGATCCGCATCAAAGGAAGACTTCTTCGAACTGCTCAAACGACATCATTCAGAGTTCAACTTTCCGCCGCGCATTGCCGAGAAGTTCTGGATGGCGTACCAGTACTACCTGGACGCTCTTAATGATTTTAAGGGTTGATGACAAACCCACTCAGAGACACGCGCACCAAACTACAAAACCATGGCCAACTTCACGCTGATGTTTCCGCCTTTCTTTTTCCACTTGTGTAGCACAAACATCGGGTTTGAACTTCACTCACAATCGACAATTAACCCTGTGTCGAAAACGCTTTTCATACCAGTACATCCAACGTGTAAATGAATTTGTTTTTTTTACGGTTTCTTGGTGTGAATAGAGTCTATTCATTGGCTGTCATGTCCAGCCAATAAAATTGGCGGTACACCTGAAGCGGAGTGAACCAATGGGACAAGTGCGCGGTCGATACGAACGTGCAAATGGTGTGCATTGTCGATTAAAAGGCGTGAAAATTGCAAGCTGTCAAATTTTTACTAAATTCACGCGTTTTGCCTACTACTACAACCTGAGATAATTGCTAACCCCTTTAACATATCTAGGCCAAATATCTGATTGGTTGTCAGTAAGAAAACCGGAACAACTTCAAAGCCCTTTCCACCTGTCTGCATTTCCAAAAGTAACTCAAACGTACTCAATTGCAGTCGTCTTTCGTCAGTGGTTTGCATCTATTTGACTCGATGGAAAACCGAAATGCTTCTATAATCAGCAACTCGCTCACCCAACCAGATTACAAGGTGCACCTTAAATGAATCTTAAAAATCGAAATGCTAAACTGGATACAACGCTGATTCAACTAAAGCCGACCTCTCAATTTAAAATCGCAGAAGTAGATAATGCTATTTACTATTTAGATATTGCTACTATTTAGATAATGCTAGACGTAAATATGAAAACAATATAGGTTGACTAGAGGCCACGTAAGTGAGATTTGTAAAAATGCCCCAATGAAATGCTTCAACTAGCTCGTGTGAGATTCTGTTAACTGGGATGTCTGGTCACGTTTAATACTGGACCCGCACGTAAGTCATGCGGTGATACGCAATGGAGGATGCAATTAGCCAGTCCAGCCTCAAGTTGCACCCTGTGATCCCTTTAATTAGCAGATTTTTACTTTAATTAAATAAATCCTCTAACTTCTCATTTTTTGGGTTTCAAATTTAAAAGCGCACGTAAATGCACAACATTTCAGCACAAAAATTTCAACCTCCGCCTAAATTCCAGGTGATTGATTTCGTAATAAATTTGGCCTTTTAAGGGCTAACATTGACTAAAGGTTAAATTTAGTGTGAAAAGTGAAACGGTTTTTCTCTTTGCGCTTAGTTGCAACTACTCGAATCACCCGTTACAACGTGGTTTTATTGTGGAGTTCATTGTTTTAATAAAGACTTCTTCCGCGAATCGGAAAAACCCTTGCAACAAGTAGAAGATGGACATTAAAAGGGCAACACTGACATTTCTGCAGTCAGTTGATTCCGGCCTTCGTTTCTACCCCCTTTTCCCACAACTAAAACGCTTTTTTTAGTTTTTTTTTACAATTTGCCTATTTTAACCCGCACGAACATTCCTTGGGAGTACCTTGTAGGTTTTAAGCACGACTGATTATTAACTATAATTAGACCAAAGGGCTAAAAAATGTTGGATTTTAATTTGTACATCCGCTGGGACTTGTTTAAAAATGGGCAGATTAGGGGTGGATGCCATGCAATTACAAATGCATTTGAATCAGGTCTAAAATTACTGCAGATTTATTCATCAAATGTTTGATAAAAATGCTGTGTATTGAAAGTTAGAGTAGAGGCACAGCGGTCTTGTTCAGATGGCCAAATTAAATCTAGTTTGACAGGCGTGAATGAGATCTGGTAAATGCTGGCAAAAATAAGAGATAACTGGTAATTAAAAGCAGATTCGTGTGTTTCGGTATGAGGGGAATGTCGATAACTGTGTTTTGGCACTTTCTTCCAGTATCAATGACGAAATAGGCGACTGCATCTTTGGAAGTAGTGTGATATTAACTGGGAGCGTCTTTTTAAGGCAAAATCTCTACAAAATACAGAGTCGTTGGACAAACTGACTTGCAAGAGTGCCTAGACTGTGGCTGTCTCAACAGTACCGAGTTCGGCGGAATTATAAGGAACGATTTTTAATCAGAGAGTAATGTAACGCGCCATCCATGTGTGTTGGCATGTCAAGGCAATGCTCCACTGCATGCATCGAAATATACAACGGCAGCTGGACAATTTCAATCAAGCAAATGAATCGAAGCCTCGCCAATGATAGCTGAAACTTTTTGTATTTTAGTGGTAGTGACTGTCGTTCCAGGGTGTGTGTGTGTGTGTGTGTGTAACTGCCTGTAGCGTATGCAAACTATCTCTATACCGACAAATTGGCGTGCATTATTATGCCCACTATCAGTGTTCGTCTGCGTCCACGGCTGTGGCAGACGGTCAAGCCCCTCTCTGTAGCATGTGTCCGGTTTCAAGGTAGAGTACACATCGAGGTCGGTTTCAAATGCGGTCGAGTCCGTGACAGGTTCTAGTCACGTAGAAGGTGCTTCATTAATCTGGAATTGGGGTATTCTGACGGAACAACAAGGGGAGAACAAGTTGGGGGAACGTAGAAAACTTTGCGTAAATGCAATCGCATCGTTTCTTGGAGCTGAATTCGCTCACATAGATGTGACTTGCCCCATCTGACGTGTTTTCAGTCGGAGATGCAAATTCGCAATAGTGTTGGTTGTAGTTGATGAACTCGTGCTTTATCGTAGTTTATTTAAATAAATCGTTGTCTGCTACCTACAAGTACTCTCCTGACCTCGGTGTGATTCAAACGATTGATTGCTTTCCAAGACAACGCCCAAAATGCATTAAACTCTTACAAAGAGGCATCGTTCCTCGTTATTTTCTACGCTTTGGAGTTCGAACACATTGCTTTAATACACGAACAGTTTGGCTTTGAGTTAAAATGAGTCCCCAACTTGAATAGCTGCGGTTTCGGTGATACTAGTGGTAAGTGGCTTCGTGTGTCGGGATTGTTGAACAGCCTCAAATTCACAAATTCATTGACAGCTTGTTGAAGAAATGGATTACCATCCAATCTAGACAGAATTACACGCACATGGTCGATGAGGAATCTGTATTCTTTCTCTTTGCACCACATTCAGTTATTCCAGACATCACCGCGTCGTAGACCACGACAGTTTGGGCTTTGTCTCTAATTCCTGATTGCTGAGCATTCAGAATTCTCCAACAGGGTCCACCGCTAATTAGGACTTCGTCATCGCGTACAGAAACACACCCTAACCACGCCACTTAAGTGGATCAGTCAGCCGCGGCACCCCAAACTGATTCATCAGGTCACGGCCACCGGTGACCAAAATAAAAGGGCGCACACTGACAGCCCCCCCGGCCCTTGGCCAAGACAGTGAAAGCTCTCTGCAGTAGGTCTCGTCTTTGTCCCGTACCGAGAAGGTGGGAGCCAGCGTGAGACAAGCGGCCTGGGGAACGGTTACCTGAGGATGCAGTCTAGTTTGCGAGCAAACGTAACAGAAATGCCCTGGGTCCGCCGGATTCCCACCCTAATCTAATTTATCAGCGACTACTTTTAAACAATCTCAGACCAAAACAATTACAGACGACTCGAGACAGCAATGTTTGCCTCCTACTTGTGAAAAACGGACGTGAGATTCACCCCGCCACTCCTGGTCAAAGTGACATTGAAGAGCAACCCATCTAACACGCGGAGCAACTCGCAACCGGCAGGTAAACAGGCAACACCACTCCACCAGAACTCATCATTGTTCGTACCAAGAATGGGACAACGATGTGCCAGCACGCAGCTCCGCAAAGGCACGATACCAATTGGTCAAAGACAATACGGACAACAACGAATGGCGCGCAGGCGATAGCCAACTGAGAGCGATAAGACGTCCTACGGGGGGTCAGTCTTTACTTGAAGTACAAAGAAGCTACATTTCGGCTATAAAACATTTCTGAAATAAGGCCGCAATAAACGAGGGATGGGTCAGAGAAGAGGCTTGGACGAATTCCTGAGAACAGTGTCAGTCGAAGGCAAGCAGAGTGGCAAGACTAGAGGGGGTCAGGCTCAAAGATCCTTTGGCACGGGCCTATTCTTGTAGAGCAGCTTTCTCGTCTTGATGTTGGCCCACTTCTTCCGCTTGTAAATCCCTGCCAAGACCGTTCCGATGGAGATGATTATGAGTGCCTGCAAGAAAAATAGGCAACTAGACAAGTTGAAACCAGCTGACTTTCAAGGAAAGGAGGAAATCACAGCAACGCAATCCAGTTAGCATTTTCTGAATTGGGTCAGGTACGTCTACTTGTGCTGTCCTTGAGTCGTTGATTCGCAAAGGAGCACTTTAAAAAATGAGCAAATTTTACGTGGACACACACACACACCTTGAAGAGGAGTCGCTTGCGCTTGTCGTGGTTGCGGTCCGAGCTCCAGGTGAGGAACGAGACCACATCCTTGGTCATCTGGGAGACCGAGGCCGGGGTGCCGTCCTCGTACTCGATCTGCTCGTCGTACAACGGCGGCGCCATGCTTATAGCACCGCCCGGAAAGTAGGGGTTGTAGTACTGATTCGCCTCCATTGTTCGACCCGGTGGCGGGTCACAAAAGCCTAAAAAGGCGAAGAAGCGCGCAAATCAACCAAACTTGCTCCAACGGGCGTTGTACAGCGCGCCCGTGGGTGGTAACGTTCCAAACACCCACAAAAGACGAAGCCTTGTTTAGGTAAAAATGCTTGTGTGTGGAGCATGTAGGAAATATCGGTAACAGTTTAAGAGAACATAACGCGTCAATTCAACCGTGTCCGAAGAAGATGAATTGTTCCACGAATGAGTGCTCCCTTCCGAAATTTGACGGACTCGTGCGGACAGACAATAATAGTTTGTGGGCAATGACCGTAGTAAGGTGAAAATTTAGACATCTAAAACAATTTGCACCTAATACAACTGTTGAACAAGACGCGTCATGAAAAAAGTAGAAATTTGGTGGGAAGCAAGCAAGAGTAGACTAGATTCCATGCGATTTAGAATTGATAAGAGCATCGTCTATAGTTGAAATAAGATGACCGAACTCTCAGCTCCGTGCGAATGGTCAGGAAAAGTTTTGTTTGAGATGTTCGATTGTTTGACTTGAAAATGCATTGAACGAGTTCAGGAGCGGCTTTAACCGTTTTGGCGACACCGGTCATCTCTCAAGGTAAGGTGAGAATGAACCAATGAACAACAACGGGAGGCGTCAAACAACATCTAATTGGACTTGGTAACGGTAGAGCGCAACAATCTTTAAAACCGAGCTAGAAATGCGACTTGATTCGGGGCGGAAATAAACTTATTCTGATAACAACCGTTTGAGGTAGGCGTGGTCTTGGTGCACAAAGAATGTCAAGTACCGAGTGGGCATACCAGTGATGAGATGGAAGATGTAGTCCTCAAAGCCATGTCGAGCCTTCACGATGAAGGTTAGATCGGGCGGCAGAGCGCCTGAATTCGCGTAGCGTGCGGCCTCGGGGTTCGGGTAAGGCGACGGCAGGGTGTCTGAAAGGCGACCAGGGCGCTGGAACATTTTGCCCTCCTCATTGGGTCCATCCTCAACAAGTATCTTTTTTGGAGCAAAGGGTTAGAGGTGAGGCATCGATGAGTGTCCTACAACACACTTTGATCAGACCACTTCATGTCTTCTTCAAATCTGCGAGTCCTTATCGCTCTATCCTGTGTTTATCCGATTCCCCCAGTGCAACAGAAAACTATGACCACAAATTCTTTAATGTACTCGCCTTGTTTAATTTATATTGTGCATTTTTCGACGTTTAACTAAACGATCGAACTACTAAAATCAGCACTCTTTCCTGCATAAATTAAAAAAAAAACATTACTTTGGAGTAAATTGAAATTGTGCCAGCAAAATGGCAGCTGAAAATATGACCGTTCCAATTATTCATTTTCAGGCACGTAGTTGTTTTTGAGGGTTGATTCTTACACACAAGAAAACATTCCTGGGAACTTAGTGGCATATAAGTCAATTTGATTGCTACTAGTAAATATGACCTAGTAGTGAGTACTATGTGCCCAAGCACAGTGTGTGTTGCTTCAACGTCGATACGGAAGTACGCTAATGCTACAGCTTCAAAACCGCTCAGTAAGTTTATTGTATGTTGGAGTAAAAATGGTGAAAGCAGCATAATATGGCAAAGGCACTAGGGTACACCTCCATTAATAAAAATCGTTCGATTTATTTGTGACGTTGGCAGCTGTTAACCAATTACTGGGCCGGTAAGAATCAGAGGATGTTCTTAACCATGTGTCAGAAAACCCAAACTCCAAAGACATTAAGCAACCTTGACTGTATCAGCTGCGACAAGCCTTACCTCGGCACATTCAGCCTTGGCCTCTTCCTCCGTAAGAACGTGGTTAACCAGTTGACGGTAGCAGATGTATTTCATACTGTGGCAGGCTGCGCAGACTTGTTTGTACACCTCGTAACCCCGCCGCAAGGACGCGTGGTCATGAGAAGCGAGCATACCGATATGAGGCCAGTCGAGTTTCGTGGGGTGGACGACAAGCTCCGTGGCAAACACAGGTGTAGCAAGTACTGCAGCGCCAAACGCCGTGGCGCCAGCCACTAGGCAGATTCGTTTAAAAATCGGCCTGATCGGTTGTTGCTATAATTCGACAGGATATAACTATGACCAAGCTAGACGTATAGCGAATAATTTGAATAAACGATCTGCAAAGACAAACCTTTACGAACTGCCATCAGATAGCTGTTCTAGACAATCCCGGAGATAGAGTATTACACAAACCATCCAGTTATATTAAAACAAGTCACTCGAAACCCAGATGACAAGTGTCTACAGCATCACCGACTCGACGTTTTAGATAATCATATGCATGCACTTGTGGAATGAATACCTGACCACGAACTATAGACATGGTGCCAGAGAATAAGCAGCAACCCAACTTAAAATAACAATGTAGGTTTCTTTATGAAACCAGCCCGTATATTCATCGAAATATATTTAAGTAAGTTCATAAAGGCAGTTAAAACTAACCGCAGGTAGCTGGCGAATTTAGGAAATCCGCTTAAGTGCCAACTAACTTATAAGTTACCCAAATTAACAACTCCCCGATAAGACAAAAGCCTTAAAACCTACATTTGAGCTACCTAGACGATCGAGAAAGCGTATAAAAAAGGTGCGAAAGCTGGACGCCATCCCCACACAAAAATGACAACGAGTGGAATGGGTTTAAAACAAATAAACGGTTCGAGCAACATCATCATTTCCACATTTTTGGTATTCCGTTATTGGGGTTCCTGCCTTAAGAACAAATGCAGACATTATTTTTTTTAAAATTAAATTAAAGAATTCTATTTGGAGATGTGTGGTCGTACGTTGATAATTTTAGCACCAAAAATTTAATAATAACCAATAATGCAGCTTTTATAATCTTTTGCTCACGATATAAAGCAAATTTAGACGTAAGCGGATGCATTTGAATTTTTCGTAACATAGCTTTTATCTATATGTCTTATAATATCATAAGCGGTAGATCTGATGCATTCCACGTGTTTCAAAGTACGAACATAAAATCAACTTTACTGGGAAGCCTTTTCATTGTACTAGCATAGATACGTATATATCCATTGATGAACTCTCTAAAGAACAGTATTTGATCAATAGTCATTCAAGAAAATTAAATTTGAAATGTCTATCATTATAGGTGGGCACTGATTTAAAAATGTACAATAATAATATTAGAAAATAGTGCTGGGATAAATGCTAAATTTAACACAGAATAAATCGTTATTAACTAATTAGTTTGACACATTTTGCGAAAAGTCAATATTGCGTCTACGTTTTTCGTATTTTTATGCAAACCCTTAATCCTTGCTTTCTCTTTACCTGGGGGAATTATCTGAAAGGTTGATTGACTTATTAACAAATCTGAGATAAATGAATATTCATTAGGTTTTAACTTATTTTAACCCACTTAAAATATCCTCTAAATGGATTACATAGTTACGTTTGCTTAGATTTGAAACATGTCAATTTAACCAAAAGACATATTTTTATGTTTATTGAGCTGATCTTTCGATAAAACTGAAACACAAATCTTTTATTTCACCCTGTTTGTAAATTATCTAAAATGTTCAATAATTATAACAAAATAACCCTAAATAATGATTCAAATTCGTGATAGTTTATTATGTGTTAAAGTGTTTCATGAATTCATACCAGGGTTGAACTAACTCGGCACCCATCGGACACGTATTCGCGTTTTAGTCTTGCCAATATAGCCCTAAATGAACTTTGTACTGTCATTAATTGACCTCTTTTAGGATATCAATTAAAAATTGATTAAAATATTTCGTAAATTACTATTACCAATTCAAAGTTTGCCGTTGGTAGCGGGAGGACATAATTTTATGGTGCTTGTAAAATTCACAGAATATACATCGAGTAAAACAGAACAATTCGGCACTATGTCGACAAGATTTTACTATTCATGTGAGCTTCTGTATTCAGAAATTTGTGTTATTATGAAATGTCACTCCTAAATAGCGCAGTGTTAATCTTGCGAAGTAGAAAACACAACTCCATTGTTCGAAAAGTTAATGAACATGTACTGCTCACATTCACATGTTATGATTTCTTGACTGCTTTGCATTTATCAAAAATTCAAATCTATCTAAGCTACAAAAAGGGTGTGATCTTTAAAATTACATAAAAACTGATCATCTGCGCTAGCTTTGTGGTTTCTTTTACTTCAGCTTAAAAAACCTCCTTAGCAGATTTGCAAACACCGAAATCACATGCCACATTCGCGTAGTCGATTTCCTGTTTTTGCAATTGTTTTTTGTTGTTCTACGAAAGCACTTTGATGGTGAGTGAAATTGCTGCATTCGGAGACAAATTCGGACGCATCTTAAAAATGTCGTACCATATGGTAACAAAAACAAATGTCAAGCCAATAGGAATCCTGTGCAGATTTGGTGAAGATGGTGCTTGGCGGAAAAGTCTATGCACAAAATTCAAATGTCAAAAATGTTGTAGATTGATTATCTTTCAGTAGCAGAATGGCATCTGCTGACTCACTTTGACCAAGGCTGCAGCAATCGCACAGTTTTATCTACGCCATTTTTGCAATTTCTTTGCATTTTGAGGCCTGTTTTTGCATCGCAGACTGTTCAGTGTTGTAAAGGGTTTAGCGCCTTTCCTTCGCAGAACTGCCAAAAGTATGCTAGGCGGAATGAGATTGACAAAAATATAACTGATGTGTTTTTAAACCACGAGTGAATTCCTTAATTTCAATATTTGGTAAAGATGCATGCTTATTTTTAAGATTCAAATGATGCCAGTTCACAAAGAACTGCGGCTTCAGTCCCGAACGTTTCTCAACTTCTGACAAACATGGTCTTGATGTAAAAAAAGAGTGTCGAGTTCATATTTGATGTCTTTCATGGTTGTGGACAATTTTTTTTATAAAATGACTGTCCACGGAAGTTTGAGTTCCAGGATTGGACAGACACGCCGAATTCCTACTTAATAAGAAATGATGTGAAACGTTGAAAAACCTATGTGTATTATCCTAAACTGTGACCGTTACAGCAATAAAATTTTAGCAGCAAAACATACAACAAATATGCGGAGAGCAGCTGATAACCACGTCGGAAAGATGAGCGTTTGGACCGTACAGTGAGAACCAGAATTAAAACAGCACGTCAATCGAGAAATAATATGATGTGTGCAAAACATTTTCGCAAAATTTGTATTTGCGAGTAATCCATTTCGCTTTAAAACTGTTTTACTAAATGAGTTTCCAAAGGGTGGTGGTGTAAGAGAAGCAGCATAAACCATCCAATGAGCTTATGGCCATGGTGCTTGCCCTCCTAATTGCCCGTGTCGAACGATAGAATTCCGCAGATCGGGTGAATGAGTAGCACACCTCCGGTCGCTGTCTGGACCCAACCAGTGACTCCGTCGGACTGCCCGCAACGCTCGACAGACTTGAGCCGGTGGTCATGTTGCGTCCGCAGCCGTAGCAGTAGAATGACGGCGCGTAGCCAACTGCCCGCGACACCCGCATCCCCTCCGGACAGAAGAGTTGGCCGGGGTTGTGGGGCGAGACGCTGTCGAACATACCGAAGGAGATGCACGAGACGCTGCTTGTGGAGGACGCGGAGTCGCTGTTGAGGCGGCTGTAGGCGAACAGACGGTCCAGTCGCCTGCGGTCCTCTGAGGCGGGCGAGAGGCCTCGCAGCCGCTCGAAGCACAGGCGAGTGGGCTTGTGGGGGCTGCTGGAGGCGTGG